TGGCAAAACACTGGTTTGCTTGATTGGGTTTCCAGTACAACGTACATCACTTTGCTTTCCTCCTGATCAGTTGAGAATGACGGGTTGCAGATTCCTCTAAGAGCCCAAAGACTTGGGAAATCGGGTAGCAAATGAACTCTAAAGCACAAAACAGTAAAGGAAAGGTCAAAACTATAATGAGACAGAATAAAGACAAAGTTTCAACTTATCTAAAATGTTGCAATTTTACTTTGAAGACGGGTTTATTTTCTCAGACATGCTATTATGTCTCACTTGAAGTGTAGTTGCAATGTTTTATAATCAAACATAAAACACAGACTTACTTGACAGAATGTACATCTTGCTTGTGCTCCCATGCACGAAGTGTCTTATACTTTCGCACAGTTTGCTCTTCATAACCAACTCCAATTAAATATGACTTGACCATTGACTCATCCATGAGCATTGGTATGCCTGTTAAGTCTTTCTTCCATTCTTTTTGCTTCTGTAGATAAGCTATGGTTGGTAAAGTCCAGCAAGCTGACTGATTCTCGGTCTTTGTAGCGGTCGTGGATGATGTTGACAGATTTAAAGCGTTGCAAACAATGTTTACGAGCGCTTTCTTCCCGATATTTTTCTCAAAATCTACAGAGAGAGCTCTACAAACTTCCTTAAGCTTTGGTTTCGTGAGTTTAGAAGCATCTTTATAACAATTTGGTAGCTTTAAATCCGTTTGTTTGGTTGGAGCCGCCATTTTGCTTGTAACTAGGGCTCCAAAGTTACCCCCCAAGGCGCAAGGTATTTTGGGTAATGTGAAAATGGAGAATAACATTAATAATAAAAAAAGATGTCTAATTTAGCCTGAGAGAATAACTGACAATTTGCAGCACCAATACTCAACAACCAATAATCAACAACAACAATGCACTTTACTTATCCCTTATTTTAAAAAATCACTTAATTAATTATTTAAAACAAGGTATATGAAAATCTGACTAAAAATAGATTCACTTACTCGCGCTTCCATAAGGCGCTTTTGTTTGGTGATGTTACTTTTTCCTTTCTTTTTCTGTAGCTTTTCCAGGTCTTTTTTGGGCTTCACAAAACTTGTTCTACATTCAGAACACTTCACAGCAGCTCGCTGTTGTTTGCCACAGTTAGTACACCTCTGCTTAATTTAACTGATAAAAACTTATCGTAAAACATTATGATTATTATTAATATTTATATATTACTCTACAAATGTTATCAAATTATTATTATTATTATTAATATTTATATATTACTCTACAAATGTTATCAATATTTTTATTGGTTTACTCCCTCTTAAAAACCAATACAACTATAGCAACTTAACTTTTAACTATTAATGAGGCAGCTGGCATTTACCTTTGCCAACTCAGAATAAAAATTATTTCAGTTTGTAACAATGATATAAAATGACAAAGTTATTACAGCTGCATGTATGTTCAGCATCAAAATATCAGGCTTAAGGTGAAGAAAAATACTTTAGTTTGCATAATCTTGGCCTAAAATCAGTTAATTAGAGTTAAACTTGCAACTAAATTTTGTAGGTGTTGCACAATGAGTAATTTCTTTCATTAAAATTTAATTTACTTGCTTTGAATCCTCTCTTCACTTTTGATGCTGCATTGTCTACAAAATTTAAAAATGAAGGTCTACATTCAAATATTGAATATTATTGGTAGGTGTACTTTATATACAATTGTGTAAGTAACCCTTGCCTTGCCTTCACTTAAGATATATATGATGATGCTCTGTGCCTCACCAAGTGTTGAAAGATTGTTTCTTGCCAACCTTGTTGAATTAAAAGTGCCCACAAGAACCAGCTGGTTTATAGGCTAACTGGCTCATAGTACACCAGAATCTATACACTGATTATGATTAATGAGCTTCTGATATTTTTTTCAATGAAATTTAAATGTCGGCAGGCGCTAATAGTCTAGACGTGCCTCCAAGAAAGCATGTTTTCTTGGATTCTTTAATGACTATACTTACTGTGTAATCAATAAGTATAAGCTGTTTTCCTAGACTTCTTTTGAATAATACACAAGCTAGCTATTTACCTCCTAAAGTACTCGAAATGGCAGCGTACTGTGCAATTGAATGTAGATTCCTTTTCTTAATAATGGAAACTCGCACATGGCTAAAGCAGCAATGACCGCAATACATTTTTGACGAATGCTTCATTCAACTTCAAAAAAATTTTTAAGACTCCTTCAAAAGGAAAAGATCCTCTATAGTCCACGGACTAATAACATGCACCTTATTCCAAAATAGCTGAGACTTTATTATTCTTTTATGTTCATGTAAATTAGCCCTCGATGCCTCGATTCTCCCAAGAAATTCTTTTCAATTCTGAAGATGTGATTGAGGCATCGAGGGCCAATTAACATAAGTATAAAGAAATGATACAATGGTCGCCATTTTGGAATAAGATGTATAATGCCTTTTCTTTTTAATCAAACGGACCGAAAAATTTGGTATTTATAGGTATCTAGAACACTCACCAGCCATGCTTAGCGCCCTCTGCCTAGACCCTAGTCTCCTCTTGCTTGTGCATGATACTGATTTATCACATACGGTAAATTGAAAGGAAAAATGATTTGACACTATTAGGTATTTCAATCACGAGATCATGTTGGTTAATGGATGTTTCATCTCATTGTCTTTTCTGGATCAAAGGAGAAAGTGTCAAAGGTTGGGAAAACAATTAACAACTTGGTTACTTGCCACTCAAAGGAGGATACAACATGAATGACCAGCTCTTCCAATCTGACATCAGATTGGTCTAAAAGAATAACATGTCTTCAACCTTTTTAAAGACCTGTTATCCCTTACTCAAGTGACGGGCAATATATGACTAGCTTAGTGGCTTGGTTTTGAAGTGATTTCAATGGCACCTCCCTCTTTCATTTGTAGTAAAAGTTCTTATCAAAATAAAATGATGTCTACCTCTAGCATCACTTCCTGAAGGCAAAGGACCAGTTGTGGATATTATTGGTGTTATTATTGCCGGATATTATTGCCGGATATTATTGGATATTATTGCCGTTTGCTATGGTGCCATACTTCCCGCACCAGTAACGTAATATTTATCAATATTTATTACCTTTACTCAGATCACTATTGAAGTTTTCGAGGAGGAAAAGGAAGGACTCATAGATTCAATTATGAAATGTACACCNTCGTGGACGATGTGCTGGACATTATATCTGTCAAAAGGTTAGCCGCGTTTCCGTAGAAAAGCGCTTAACAGGAGTTGTCTGCACTAGCTCCGATTTGAGGATCGTCCCGATCTTTTGGGACGCAAAGAAACTCCTCTGTGAGACAATGAACCTCCTTCGGGAGACAATGAACCTCCTTTGGGAGACAATGAACCTCCTTTGGGAGACAACGCACAGTGATGAGACTTCATGCAATGTTGCTTATGACAAAATATTTGACAGAAACGATAGTGTGGATAAGTCTTTTGACCGTGAAGAAATCAAACCGACACATTTTGTTCGAAGCAATGTGGTTGCGAAATGCTCTCTTGTTAGAGTATTCCTGAAAGCTGCGCCAGGTTCTGTAAAACACAATACAGCTATTGACTCTGTTACAAAAGTACCAATAATCAGTGATAAGGAACTCAAAAGTATGAAAAACGATCTGCAATTTAGATCACGTACACCGTTCTGGCGGCTAGCAGTAAAATCACACAGATCTCGAGATACCATATAAACCATGTAAGTGAAAAAACACTCCAACTAACTTCTACTTTCGACGCACTACTGCGAAAACTTCAATACAGTTTGAAGTTTTCGCAGTAGTGTGTTGAAAGTAGAAGTTAGTTGGAGTGTTTTTTCACTTACATGGTTTATATGGCGTTAAGTAATACTTTCTTGGCTTCAATCAGTATAATTTCACAACGAGACATGGAGGTCACGTTGGTGTAGCCGGAAATTATGTCATATCACTTTACTTCTGCTTCCGTTAGAAAAACCAGACACTTTCAATAAATGAAAGGAAAAGTATAATCAGTAGATTATAAAAAACGCATATTGAATGGGCTGCAGATATAATGCAATTGCAGAGGGCATTTAAACGGATTGAGACTTTGTCCGGGGATCAATTCCTTTACCAAGCTACTCGCTCGATTGTCCCAAGGTCAATTATTAGGCTGAGATTCATACCTAACCAACGGGTCTGCGTTCGGTTCAGATTTGTTTTCGTTTTTGCTGTCATTTTTTATGTCTATTTTTTTATCAGCAACTAGGAGGTGAGCTTGGCGAGAATTTTTATGTGTGTGGAAAAAGGATCGCCGATCATCTTTACGCTTTGGAATTGCATCTGTATTTACTTTGTTTCGGCGAAAACGCTTTAAATCTCGATTAGTGCCTTAGACATTCAAATTTTCGACAACTGAGAACACACTCTTAATTATTTTTAGCCGTAAGCAAGCTGTAAGGAAGAACATAATCATAACTCTGGTGACATGACGAGCTTTGCCCACCAAAAAAATTTATGCAAATTAGGCTTAGCCGGATCTGAGTTCCGCCTGGCAATTATTAACTGTAAGAGAAGATCTCAGTTCGCGCCCACAGCACGTTCAAGGTGTTGCGGATGAAGTTTCTGTAATTACTTTTTGGCACTTTTCGGCGTCAAAATTGCATAGTTTGGGTAACCCAAAACCCTTAAGCTGACCTTTCTTGTCATAACACGAATGTTTTCCAGAAAGGGACACGCGGTAATGTCGGTGTCTCTCGTGTGCAGGCATTTTTCCAGGTAAAACCCTCGCGTGGAATCAACTCATGTTTAATTTAACGCTCCTTTTATGCGCACAATGTAAGCCAAAGCAATTTTATAGTTAAACGTAAAGATCAGAATATTTTCTTCTAAGGATGATAAATGATCGACGCTGAACTAAATTATACGTTGAAGAAAATGCAAAACAGCATAACATGCAAAAGAGGAAATTTGGAAAAATACGAAGTTACGGAAACCATGAAAATCTTCGATTTTTAAGAAAGGAAATTTTTATAATTCCAAGCTAAGTAAGCTTTTCTAGTGTTTCATTCTTTAAGGCTTTGTGTAGAGCGGGGCCTTTGTTTTATAAACCGTAAAACTTAGTGACAAGTCGAAAGGGCTCGCTCTTGGTTATGATACCAAAGAGTAGAGGGACACCACGGTGATCTTCCAGGTGTTTGATCATCGTCGCCGCTCGTGGTGTACTTCGCTACTTAGGTGAGCGAGATCGACGTTCTTCCTCTCTTTAATTCTGACAGCTGTGTGAAAGACCTGATCCTTACAATGAAAAACGGTCGATTGTGCTTTTTCAGTGGCGGCTTTAACGCTCGTCCATATTCAGCGCTTATCCTAAACATGCATGGCATCTCTAGCTATCTACAAGACACGCTGCGATGTATTATTCGTCCATGTTCAACACAACAACTGCGCTAGTGAGATAGAGAATCGAAAGATCACATTGTTGCGCTCGATCTTCAC